GGTGAAAAAAAAATTAGATTGCCCGCTTGGTCGTGCGCAGTATAATAATAAACTCGTCGGGGTCAATGATGTTTTATTAGTATTCTACGAGGGGAGGGGAAAATAACCACTAAAATCTGACGGGCTGGTGATTAATAGAGGTATATTATACACGTTGCCACCGCCGCCGTAGATCGTTGTTTTTTGCAAAAGTGCCAGACCGCACCCCTCCCCWCAACTCACACCTCAAAAGCACMCACAACCCGCGAGCGCCCTGCTGTGGATGAGTTTGCATATAGTATGTGTTTTATGTCGCCGTCGTTTCTGCATTATAATATGGTCTCTATACACGCAATAATAAAACATTAAAATTATATTATATACGCTTATAATACTGTATAATAATAATAATAACATTTACGTTGAAAATATGACTTTGGCGATTGGTTAACGTCAACCGCGTTCAGCCGATAYAATATAACTATTATGTACATTAATCGCGGCGGTGAAACCATTTTCGATGCGTMYGAGGTGATGATGTATCAKTATTATCGTTATTCACGATGGACAATGMTTACTATACTTAACAAMATTCGAGGCCGAGTCATCAGCAGCGGCGCGTTATTTRCAAAATATTTAGCGATAAAMATTGTTGTRGTTTTATAAGACATTAAGACAATTAMCTATCCCTTAATACATCCACGATCCGCAGTGGCACCGAAGCCATTGTTCGAGATTCACCTGCAGATTTAAATCTTCCACGGCAATCTATATAAATTTACATCCACGACTCATCCACACACTCTCTATAAGGAAAAACTACAACAACAAACCCGCTCCCCTCAAATATAATATAAATCTGTGCTGTGACATCTGTCTCGCCCTTAACAAACACAGGACGCCAAAAGAAATATAAGTATTAATACTAAACAATTCGAACTTGGGACATCTGAAATGGAAGGTCGTGCGACGTAGGTAATGACAGAACAGACATAAAAAAAAATATATATATATATATCGAAGGATATTTGTCTTATAGATATAATATGAGTGCTTAGAACTTATGTTTATTTTGTTTTGTTTAAAAGTTCTCCAAGTTTCATCAACATTTCTATTTGTATGTCTATAATTATTTAGATTTWGGCTACATATRGGCATCAATAAAAAGTTRGACGGTATACTWGATGTCGACTAAAATTAGGGGGGTGGAGGCGAGGCTAATAAGAGTCTAAACCACAATCTATCTGTGCCWATATTCATGAAACATGCATAGCTTTCGAAATGTGTTTACGCCAACCATGAAAAATGTTTATAATGGCACATATTATATTTACTATAAGTTCTGACAACATGTTACCCTCTTCACTATTTCACTCTGTCTCTCACACTCTTTGTGCTAGTGCATCATCACAGTGTGGATAAGAAATATCATAATAACAATAATAATAATAGTAATTTAAGCGTAAAAGACTCGGGCCCCGGATATGATATAAAAAGACCGACGACGGTGATAGATTCTTTTACCTACCGGGACAGGTACATTATTCATGCGYGCTGGTGACGCGAGATTAAAATCAGAAAAGAAAATGTCGTGTTATTATTATTTCGAGCGCGCCGTATATATACGGTGCTATATATATATATGTATACCTGTGCATGTAGGTACGCATATTATAATAATATAATAACGTGTTGTTGGTTTTTTGTTTTCAGACGATTAAACGGCAACGAGCTCAGCGAAGTGCCCGATTTGGTGTTCTACAACAACCCGCAGCTTTCTAGACTGTAAGTGTTTCGTCATTTATAAAATATATTACATGAAGTTACGGCGTGAATAGCCGTATATACCWCTATATGTATATAAATAGTGAGTGGTGACGCTATACAGGGTTAATAAAATATAACCAACAGAGTATATATGATCGTTATATATTATATGTACACTTTTATATCTGATGTGCATATTTCGACGTCGACAAACATGATTTTATAAGTTCACTCATACACATATCTAATATATGTATATTAATATATATATATATTATATACACTATATTTCCGTAATATACGAACCGCATGAATAATAATGTTATTAAATTATTATTATTAGTTATTACGAATTCGTTGTGCGTAAAAAGTGTATATATTTGAGATTATTCAATATGTTGTTGGTGTGCGTAACAAAGAAATCGATAAAAAATAATATTATAGTCCAATGTAATTCAGCGGAATGTGGGCCACATATATCAATGCACATAAATAACTATTTAACATTTTGAATTTTCTGCGCGTCCGGCCCAGGAAAGTTTTTCCGTTCGCGTGTATACATAATATAATATTATTATATTGTATACATGCACAGGCGATCTCGCGACGGCTGCTACAGTCTCCGAAATGTTTTCAGTCATGGCGGCACCGATGTCAAATTATTCGCAAAAGGGGTCGATATTGACGTACAGGAAATTCCTCGGCGACCGCTGATTATTCACGGGCCCCGGACTCCGTTATTGATATTCCATCCGTGAAATTGGATTATGCGTGTTTCCTCTCCGCCGGCCTTTATTCACTGATTAATTACCCGCGGGCAGGGATTCGTCTTCTTCCCCCCCCCCGTGCTCATCCTAGTAATCACCCTCCGCCTCTTACTGCTACTTCTACTCGTCCTCCTCGTCCTCCTGCTGCAGTCCCTCCAACTCTTTTTTGGTTAGCGCTTGCGATTCTAACGCGCAGTCCGTCGAGGATGCATGATGCACCGTCCCCCTGCAACCCTGCTGCAGCGCTCGGAGTGTAAAGATCATAATCTRTCGATTTAAATGCAATCGGGTTTATTTGTATGCGTGCAGGAATAAAAATGACGCTCTTTTCGGTATAAAATGATGATAATATAATGAATGATTCACATCAAAAGCGCGTGGTCTAAATCAAAAGGAAAACATTTTTTTTAAACATTAATTATCGGACAAAACTCGTTAAAAAGCGCACAACATACAAAAACAAATTGTTTAATGTTCTGTTTTATTTAAACAATTTCTATATAAACTCGTACGATGAGTTTTTTTATACGCACTAAAACCGACGAGTAAAAAAAGAACATAGGCACGTACATTATATTATACACACTTTTAGTTGGTCGTGAGCACTTTTATGTTTTTATATTCGTTTTATGTGTTCCATCGATACTTTTCGACACATAGTTTGTAAACTGATTTCCGCGTTTTAACTTTATGAAATAATAATTCGAATAAACAACAACAGCAACAACAAAAGCTATGAAACTGTTGTGGATATTTTTTAGGAACCTTAATGATTAAATGTGTCAAATTAGATTTTATGCTTACGTTTTATGATTTTCATGTCGTTTTTATGTTATTTTTTTTTATATGTATTATTTATTAATAAAAAATAAAAATAGGCACTCAAATTATAGCTTATATTTTATGAAAATATATGGGTTGCTGCAGACACAATCCGTCTGAAATAACAATATTTAATTTATTATTTACTCAGGTTCGCCGTGTTTATTATGGTTTTGATTTTGAATGYGGATGACATGTTAATTTAATCGAATGGCAAACAATCGACATGCCTATAATTATTATACTACCGGAACGCCGAAATAAGAAAACTTTATCACTAACACGACGACGCCTTTTACGTCAAAAACGCCACAGGTTATTTCGGAACGCAAAAGTTTGCTCTCGCAATGCTGTGTTCAAATTTCGCAGTTTTCAACAACTATAAACGAACATTGTGTTCGTGTGTACGTACGTGCTTGCGTGTGTGTATATATATATGTCTCTCCATTTCTCGTTCCCTCCTYTCTCTCGGGATGAATTCGATCGAGAAGAGCGTCTAAGAAACGTGTCCGCTTCCTCTCCCGGCGGCGTTCAAACGGTGGCGGCACATAAAAAGAAGTGTTGACACTAACTTATTCTCCCCTCGATTTGGTACAAAGTACTTGGAAACTTCGGCAACACTCCGGGCAAGCCCCGAATAAACCCAATTTGCTTCTGAATCTCACAAATCGCCCGTTTCGAATTCCGAGACTAGCATAYATCGCTATAYGTCTAAACTAATTACGCTCTGCACATTATGGTAATGTGACAATAAGGTGGAGAACAYGGAAAAAACATGTTTCCGCATGTGAAATTGAATTTAGCGGRCACAGATGTCGCCGTGCAAGTAAGATGATGATGACTATGTAGGTACTGTCTGAATTTTCAAACGAAAGTTTTGAAATTTTTTAAAATATACTTTACTAATATAATATAATAATTGTGCAAATAGTAGGTACGCAGATACACAGTAATAAGACTTTTATATATTATATATTAAATCTTATAGGGTACAAACAAATACAGTACAATCCAGAGGTGACTAAATTTATCATTTTTATGAAGATCTACTGAAAATATATATATATCTTTTGAGGTTCGTCAACTCACATAAAAAACTATTTTTTATTTCAAATCGTTATCACCAATATTAATGATAAACATAATTTAATTATGAAAGTGTGGAGTTATCTAAAAATGAGTGTTTAACATTAAATGTATAATTAATTTCAAAGTAGATAATTTACATTAAACGATTGATGAAGGAGAGTGTGATTGCATAATATCGTTGATCAGTTAATATTATAATTATAATCTGARGAATAGTTACTAACTGATAAACGATGAAACTGCTGCAGTTCTAAATGATCATTAGAAAGCTCGTAGCTCAGTATTCAGCTTAATTGTTGTGACTTTCATAGTTTCATTCCATTTCACACAAACAGGTTAACTCAAAATATGCGCATAATATGTAATAAATATCTATTAAATCTATAATAATTAATTCCAAAAAAGGGGAATAATTACGACTTTGAAGTCGTCCGAGTTCGACCTGCCGATCGCGATCAACCGTTTGGCCGCCCTTGCAGTATAACTTGTATACTGTACATAATATTATACTGTCACTATACTTGCGCACAATTAAGCGGATATTAACAATAATGATGTCGGGTGTATGGCCGATGCCGTCGGAAGCTATTTTGAGGCCATTATAATATTATAGCTGGGACTTACTAAATGAATCGGAGGATAAAAATCCATGGGCTGTGTTTGCAGTGATCGCACAATAGGACAATTTGGTATAATAATATATACTGCAGTATAGCTCTTTTTGAATGCAGCAGGTATATATACACACAATGGACATTGGCATACCAGTTTGTTGAGGCAATACAAATCATTCTCGCAGTGTTTTCCGAACATTGGTTTTACAATGAGTTCATTGTATTCGTATTGGCCTAATAATATTAAATTATATCCTTTTTTGAGTTCCGTCAACTCAGTGATATTTCATATTCGGTAATAATAATATAATACAGTAAAAAATAATGACGTAAGATTTAATTTTGGTGAATAAAAAATTTGATTACACGCTATTATTATTATTTCAAAAATCTTAGCATAATTTTAACGTCCCGATAATATTAAAATAGGTAATACAAATATTGATTTATTCAAAAGTTTTAATATCTATTTCTAAGATTGTGTACATAATTAAATTTCTTCTCCCACCTAACTCAAAAAAATATTTATAAACATAGTTCCTAAGAATGATGTTTGATCTATAYATTTTTTTATTTAGTCTTATTATTTTAACTCGAACTTAAAATTAAAACCATTCAATATGCTTTTCTTATTTGAATAAAAAACAAAAATAGTACAAACTTTTCCGTCAGCGTGTGCAATATGATTTTAACAAATATTCCAATTTTATTTTAAGACAATAAAGGAAGGAGACATTAWTAAATTTATATAATAGTTTATTGTTAAAATGATAGAAATATTTMTAAAATGATTTATAAACATCGTATAATTATTKTAAATTAAATTTAAATCAACCGTATACAAAGTTAAAGAAAAAAATGTATGTCAAATGTATTAATAGTAATTTGTAAGACAGTGACATTTTATCTCATCAGATATTTGAAATAATTTACTTAAATCCTTTATTAGAATATAATACGATTACTTAAATTGCTTTTTTTTTAATAATGATAACTAATAACCAACAAGAGCAATGAACTTCTCACGAAATTTGTTTTATATTACAAGAATATTTATTTCAATGTTGTGTGGATTAGTATTCAATGAGACGAATCGTTATTGGTTAGTAATATAAAATGACGTACTATTTATTTCTATTATGCATACCATACTATCACGTCATATACGTCAGGGACCGTTTTTTTGGTGCCGTCCGTTTATCATCTCATAAAGAGTTTAATACGTTTTAAATTGACGACTGTGTGGTGTTAAAATAGTAAATGCATATAATTCGTTATCCGATTGGTTATAGCAGCCATTTATTATATATTATATTGTTTATATATGTATATACATCTTACAATTGTACATTGTGCATAATATTATATGTATATTGTTCAGTGTGGCTTACGAATTATGAACAAGGCACGTGGCTTTATAAATAATATATATCATGCGTGGGCATATGCATACGGTAGCAGGCAGCTGGACAGAATGCGCAAAATATTCAATTGAAGGGAAAAAAATAGAGGAGAATTTAAAGGTCGTAACCGTGTGCGTCTAGACCCTAAAGCGAGAGAAGCTGTGAATGCGAAATACGTACAGCGCAATCAAAACGAAATTTTCGTCTGCCGCCCGACGACGACGATAAGGACGAGAAAAAAAGGGTTTTTATTTTACGTGACCGGATTAAAACCTATTTGCGTGGACAATGGCCCGTCATTCTTATCACGTAACGCCTTTTGT